TTTCTAAAAAAGAAACACAACTGATCCCGTTTTTTTTTTTTTTTTTTTTTTTTTAAGACAAATGGGATCAACCCACATGTTCTATTTTAAAACTTAATTTTTTTAAGTTAGAAGTATATCTTGGACATCTGTTGTGTTAGTATACATAGATATTCCTTATTCGTTTTAGTGGTTATAATCCACTGATTACATGTTATGTTGAGAGTAACTTCAAGCTATTATGATATGTATTTAATAGATCTACATATCATAATTAATCCCCTATTGATGGGTATTTGTTTCCAATTTCTCACTAATACACACAGTACTGAAGTAAATATACACACACGCATTGGTGTCTTTGTAAAACAAATTCTTAGATGTATACTTCCAAGCATGTAATAGATATTACCAAATTACCCTCGAAAATGTTGAGTAGAAATGCTTTTTCCCATACCTCTACAGGAATGGGAAGTTTCATTCTTTTAAAACTGCCTGAATAATAAATAAAAATACATTATTGTTTTAATTTAATTTTCTTTAAGTACTAGTGAAGTTGAATATCTTTTCATGCTGACGGGCTGGTTATATTTTTTTCTGTGAACTAATTGCTATCAGAGTCTGGGAGTTTTACCTGTGCAAGCTTATAAATTTGCCTGTCACTGTTTGACGGATCCTGGCAGGAGACATAGATTCTTGGGTCAGAAACAAGGACCATTGTTGCTTATGGCATTGACAGCAGCACGAGCATCATGTTTGCACTGGTTTCTCTTGCCCCCAAGTCCAAAGACAGTGATTGCAGTGGAACCCCCAGGTGGATTCTGTGCATGGACTAGATATGTGACACAACCAAGGAATGTGGAGCTTGTCAAATCCACCTCTTTTAAAACGAGTCTGCTCTGTCCTGGAGAGAGAGTGCCTCATCCCTCAAGATTTCTCTCTGCAAACACAGCCTGAGAAATGGCCCCAGTTAACAGCTTCCAGAGCTTTCTATCCTTTGCATGCCTAGTAAGAACATGCAGGGACATTCAAGGCCCTGGCCTATTGCTTCTTCCAATAATTGCCTTTGCTTATTTTTCTATATACTTACTACTTATCATTTTCTCATTGATCTATAAGAGCTCTCTGCTGTCACAACAATTATTCCTATATCTGTCATTGACTTACCTTTCTTATTCTAGTTCATTTTTTAAAATTGGTTTTATCAGTTGTAGTGTGGTTTATTTTTACATCCATGAGTTTCATGAGTTTCATGTCATACATGGAAAAAAAGGATGCCAAAAAATATCAACTGATTTTTTCTCTTTTACTTTTGATTGTTAGCCTTTAACATTTCGATCCTTTTGGAATTTCATTTCATACAGAAATGATGTAGGGACCCACTTTGGTTTTACCAAATGGCTAGCCAGTTGTTGCAACCTCATCTCCCATCTTTTCCCTACTTGTTTGAGATGGCACCTTCATTACATATTAATATTTATCTGTACTTACATCTTATACTATTTTTATTCTATTCTTTCATTTATTTGTATATTACTACTCCAACCTTATCTTTTAATTACTATAGCTTTATAATACACTTAATGCCTGGTAGAATTTTTTCCCCATTTTCTCTTTTATTTAAAAACTTTCTTGGCTGTTTTCACATATTATTTTTTGAATGTGTCACTTAAAATAAAATAGGTAAACCAGATGAATAGAAAATATTCATTCTAGAGAAACTCTAAACTACTGTCTTTTACAGCCTTATCTCTTTTTTAAAGTCTTACTAATGTGATTTTTATGAAGGTTTAGTTCGCATTTCAACAAATATGGAAGCATAGCCTCTACTTGCAATCCCTAAAATCTTCTTTATTTTAATATAGATTCCTTGTAGTTTGGAATACTGGGATGAACTCCAGAAGACTTTTGTCACATTTCAAGAATTTTATCTATCCGAAAGCAAAGTTTGTGAACTGCAGTTGCCAGATATCAATCTTGTGAATGACCAGAAGAAACTGGTATCCTCAGATCTTTGGAGAATTGTCTTGAACGGCAGTCAAAATGGAGCTGATGACCAAAGGTAACTAAGTGAAAAATGAAATAATGACATTAAACTAGGAAGCAGTTGTCAAATTATCTAGTGACCCTCACTTAGCTGTATCTCAGCTCTCTAGTAGCTGCATCTGTCTGAACTACAGATGAGAACCGGGAAGCAAGATAGAAGCTGATGCTTCAAAGTCTGTATACTAAAAGTCCTATTTTACTCATAACACGGTCAGTAAGCCCTTATTAAGAATCTCTTCCTTAAATGTAAAAAGAAAAAGTACAAAAAAACTACAAAAAAAATCTAGTCATTCTGAACCAAAAAATATAAAGGGAAAAGAGCCATACACACCTCAGTAGACTCTTAATTATACAGTAATCAGTATATGTAATGATAACCCTGGGGCATTGAAAGAAAACCTAAATAAATTGAATTGTCTCCTTCTAAAAAGATAAATTTTAGAAATAGTTCCTTTTTAAGTGGTTCGAAAAAATAACTTTAAAAGACAATCTTCTAGACATAAGAAAAACTTGGCCAAACAAAATAACTCATGCCCAAAGGATTTCAGATAGCCAGAGCTTTATCCAGCTCTAGAATCTGTTTGGACATAATGAGACTCTAGAGTTGTAGACTCCAGGTATTCCAGATCATGTCCCCAGAACTTCCTGTGTCACACCTCCTTCAGGAAGGGCTAGGTTGTCCCCGTTTCCAGTGTTTGCCTTCTTAATACATCCAATAAATTAAAGTAGAGAAAAAATGGTTTCAGCGACTTGTTTTTCAGCACTTTCTGTCCATGTGCTCATAAAAGAAAAAAGAGAGACTACATCACATCAGTCGAACAGTTGATTTGCAGGGCCTATGACCATCTTGCTGTCCGTCACTTTCAGTATTCTGCCTTCCAGTTCTCCTGGTGAATTGGCTTTAGCATTATCTTATTCCTTTTATGTAATCCCGCCTTTTTTACCCCCAAACAACATCTGACACTAACAGAAAGGAAAAAGAATCCACCATCCCAACTCCCTGCAAATTAACTGTTTTCTCTTTTCTATGTTACCTTTATTTTTGCCCATTACTATATGTCTTTACAAGATTATAATCGTAGCATACTATTTGGTATTCTGATTTCTACTTTATATTATATATAGCTGTGAGTGCTTTTTTAAAAATAATAATGTATGTTTATTGAAGCGCATTTGAGAAATAAAGAAAATAACACCATGCATAATCATATCACCATGAGATAACCTCTATTAACATTTTAATCAATGGCCTCACAGTCTTTTTCATTGGTTACTTTGTATGCTTAATAATAATATGTTTTATACTTTATATATTTTATTTCTAGGTTGTTTGGGCTCTTCAAAAATAATTATCTTCCTAGTATGTTACTTAGTAATATAAAATTAGTGACAGTGTATTAGGGGAGTGGGATCTTGATTTTATCTGTGTAATGCAGCAATAAAAAAAACACCCATCCTGTGAGAAGTTAGCAGATAGATAAAAAGATTGCCTAATCTAAGTATAAGTTACCTAGTCAGAAACCAGGAAGCCTCAGAAAATAGAGCTTGGGTAATGAGATTGATTTTTAAAAATCTAAGTCTCATTAATAGCATCAAGTTAGAAATCACTTCTTGATTCTAATTACAAAAGAATGCATTTTCATTATTGAAAGAAGTATTTTAGACAAGGTTAATCCCTCTGAATCTGAAACATTCATAAAAATTACTTTTGTGGTAAGCTTAGCACTACAGAATGTGGAAACTTTAAGGAATGAAAATGTATGCAGACAATCAAATTCAGGCAATTTTCACCAAGCTTTTGGCATTATAAGCACAGATCTTTTGTCCTCACGTGGGATTTTTCAATTTACCTAATATTTCACAATTGATCTTTAAGTGGTTTGAAATTAACCGTTTTTCAGGTAGAAGTTGATGTTAATGAATTAAATTTAAAGAGTTGGTTTTCAAGTCAACATAATTAAATGCTATTAAGACATTTTTCAAAATGGACATTAAATTTCATTTAGTTTCTAGAAATAAAACATCAGTGCTTTGATAATATGTCAACATTTCATGCAGAAAGAAATTGCTACAGTTGGGGCTAGTATATTCTGTCACAAGTTATCAAGAACGGGACAAAAACTTGTCACTTTTATCATTAGAGTTTGTCTTATCTTAAGTAGTATTTTCATTGGTTTGAGAAGGATGTGCATCAGACTGTTGTACATTCCTGGAAGAAAGTTCATAAAAATACTCCCATGAAACTTAATTTTTTTTTTAAAGCATTTTATCCACGTGTGTCATAAAGTTGCAGGAATGTAGGCCGCTCAGTGGTAATCACTGTATGTGTGTAAATAGAAGCACTAGTTAGTGGAGAATTTCATGTTAGAAGATCTGGGTTTAAGGCCTGGCTCCATCACCAATGACCTATATGACCTTGAGAAACTAACATCTGATTCCTAAGCTGAGGCCTTAAGTACTGAATGGGAGCTCACCAGCCCAAGAGGTGGCCGGTAGCCTTCAACAAAGGACTAGAGACAAAAGATTCAATCTCTTAAGTCCTATGCTGTTTATCCTATACGGATATATTATATTTAATTCAATCACCGTATTTGTATCTTTTCACCATCTTTAATGGTTTACTTGATCATATGAAAATGAATGATTGGTAATAATTTTTTTTCTTTTTTTATCTTTAATTAAGTTTATTGGGGTAACATTGGTTAATACAATTATATAATTTTCAGGTGTACATTATCATTTGACATCTGTGTATTCTATTGTATGTTTACCACCCAAAGGCCAGTTTCCTTCAGCTACCATATATTTGATCTCCTTTACCCACTCACTCTCTCCCTAAACCCTGTATCTGACCCCCTTTACCCCGTCTACCTCCCCCCTCCCCACCCCTACCCTCTGGTAACAACTAGTCTATATTCCATGTCCATGAGTCTCTGTTTGTTTGTCCTGTTCATTTGTTGCTTTTAGGTTTATATCTCACATATAAGTGATATCATGTGCTCTTCAACTTTTCTGCCTGGCTTATTTCGCTTACCATGATTATTTCAAGGTCCATCCACGTTGTCACC